CTCGAACTCCTTAATAAATGCTAAATAATATGAAAAAAATTTGTCGATTCTCGGATACGTTACAAAAAGTTTGATTGACGTTACCGAATGTGGTTTGCTAATGGCTTTCTTTTCTACTTTCTTGCGTCATCAACTCATATAGCCACAATAACGTGGGGGACTAGATGATGGATTTATACAGGAGGTCTAGCGTTCGGCCTCGGCTAGCTCCAATCCATTATACCAAGATGCGCTTGCCTATTTTTAGAAGGGACAATTTGTTTCCAAGTTTAGGATGTTACTGACCTATTTTTATAGACAATCAATTTGTAATTAAAATACACAATTTTAGGGATTAGCTTTCTTAATTTAAGTCGAGTACCATAATTAAGTTTGAGATGTATAAATACTCTAAAAATGCTTATAAAGGATTTGAAATTCTCCCCCCAAAAGATTGAATCAACCCCAAGCACCCCCCCCCCCTCCCCCCCCCCCCAGCTCGACAGAGCATTTGGGGGATGTAAATCTGAATCAATGGCTTAGTAGATAGGGCCAAATGCCGGTGCCGACAAGGGATCTGCCCACTTTGGGCATAATCCCCACACTGTCATTGCCGAGTTTCAAACCTTGGTTTCTTCCCTCAATACTGCCTATGGAACCAATGAGTTAAGCCCGTGCGGGCAAGGATTCGAAATCCTTTTTACTAGGGGTGGCATTTCGAAATTCAGTTCAGTTTTTATCAATTTCGGTTTCGATATTTTTAAAAAAAATGATACTATTTAATTTAACATCATAGTTTGATTAGGTTTGAAAAAGTTCTATTTCGGTTCGGTTTAAGAACCCCAATTTTCATTGTTTCATAATTTTCCAAACACACTACCAAACAATACATATTCACATAGTCAAAATCTAAAGTCTAAACATTATATAACAAAATAACAATCCAAATCTCAAACATATTACTAAGTTCTAATTACCAAACATCAGTTGGCTTTTTTTCCCAACTGATCTTCAGTTGATTTACTTGGAATGTTTTGTTGACAAAATGAAGAACCATCAATCTGAATAGTTAATATTTGGAGAACAAGTATCAAGTACTGTATAGTTAATTTTTGGATACTATTCGTAACTGCTTACTAAAATATATTTCCAGTGCACTGAAAATATATTCTAGTATTGAAAAATAATATTCCAGTGCACTGGAAGGGTGCACTTGATATTTCCAGTGTACTGGAAATATATTTTCAAGCACTAGAAATGCATTTCCAAGCACTGAAAATATAAATTAGAATGATGTTGAAGCACATTAATTTTATAGAAACATGAAACTAAGGAAAATACTAAATATTGTAAGAATAACTCAAGTTAGAGATAATTCTGAGACAAAAAAAAAACAATTTAAAAGATTTAAAAGAAATACTAGTGACTTAGTGAGAATATGCGTTGAACGGCGGAATAGACAAGGGATTGAATTTACTTCTTATTATTATTATTATTATTATTATTATTATTATTATTGTTGTTGTTGTTGTTGTTGTTTTGTTGTTGTTGTTGTTGTTATTATTATTAGTAAAATGGTATTCAATTCAATTCAATTCAATTCAGCCTTTTACCAAATTGTTCGGTGTACAAAAATCCATTAACGTTCAAATGTTCGGTATATTATTAAATTGAACTAGTTCGGTAAATTTGATTCAGTTCAAAAAAACCAAATCGAATTACCCACCCCTATTTTTTACAATGGCAATAGACGCTTTGCATTGTTATTCTATTTATACTTACCAACTCTTTTATTCTCATTCTCCGATCAATTGTGTGTGTTTTTTTTTTTTTCGAAAACCCGATCAATTGTGTTAGTCAACCCTCACTCGGAAAATTCGTAAAACCAACAAATAGCATAATAATAACACATGGCCCACATAGCAGCTCAAGTTATTTGGACTCGACACTTTTGACTAACATGGGTCCAAGTGAGATGGCAAATTATATTGTGGAACCGTGTCCATCTTGGACACAGTTCCAAAACAGCATCGTTTTGATAGAAAACAATGCCGTGTCAATTAAAAAAATATTTTCTTTTTGCTGTTAAGGGCATTTGGCTTCAGAAAATCTATGTCCATATTTACTGAACTCTATGTTCATAATTTTTTAACTTCATATTATCAATTATTAAATTCTATATTCATAATTACATATCTCTATGTTCATAATTATTGAACTCTATGTTCATAATTACTAAACTCTATGTTCATAATTTTTGAACTCCATATTCACAATTATTAAACTATATATTCACAATTACAGAATTCTATGTTCATAATTATAGAACTCTATATTCATAATTATAGAAATCTATATTCACAACGTCTCGGTGAGTTATTTTGACAATTAAAAAAAAAATCTAATTGGTGAAGCACCGCCATTACTCCAATATTGCCAAACGGCATCGTATTAGAACCGTATCCACCTTGCAAGGTGGACACAGTTCCACCGCATAACAATTGAAGTGAGATAGGTCAACGAAAGAGAAATAGTTAAGCACATTAAGGAAGCCTTAACTAAACGATCCAATTAAGAGAGACTCGATTCATTCCTAACCGTTAGGGGGGAAACTCAAGTTTGTCGATATTGACATCAAAAACTACTTCAATATTTTTGGCTCCTTGCAATTGCTAGTCTTGTCTTTTGCTTATTAAATTATTCACAACGGTCAAGAATATATTTAAAAGACAAATAAGTATACTCATAATCATGTTTATGTATATATGATTATGGGCTCCATGATTGATTGCAAATAAAAATAGTTTACAATTATAAAACTTTAATTCATGAGATAAAAAATAATTCAAATGACGAATAAATCTAATTTGTGAAACATCCCTCCAATTCCTACTCTAGAAAGCATGTGTGTCACCAAGCGATAGTGAAAAGTAGAGTGAGAATAGGGGCCAGGTGGGCTCGAATCAATTCTTTAAAATACTAATTTTTTGGCCTGAGGATTATTGCACTCTATAACCCCATTACTAAGGTATAATATGTTGTGTTCAAGTAGCTGTACATTCAGTCTTATAATGAATATTAATTCTTCTGTGTGCATTTGAGAGAATAATGGAATTAGAATAGTTAGAAAGATAACAACAAAGCAATCAAACCGCTCTAATCACACTCAACCATTATTGTGTGGATCATGATCCACATAACTTTGTGGACAATGCTATCAAATAATGTACATTCAATACACAAAAAATGTACTTTCAATATATTAAAAATGTACATTTTATTCAGAGAAAGTACATTATTTGAGTACTGAAACTACATTATTTTTCATAGAGTTAATACCATCTGAGGTCCTCCGAGTATAATGGTTTTGCCACGTTTAGTCCTAAACTTTCAAATTCACCATTTGTGGTCCTTCGACTTTCAAATTTAACCATTCGTGGTCCAAGTTAACCACTCATGGTCCTTTAAGTTTTGAAATTTAACCAGTAGTGGTCCTCATGAAAGGACTATGGTTGGTTAAAATTTAATAGTTGAAGGACCATAGGTGGTTAACTAGGACCACGAATGGTAAAGTTTGAAAGTCGAAGGACCACATATGGTCAATTTGAAAGTTTAGGACTAAACATGGCAAAACCACTATACTCGGAGGACCTCAGATGGTATTAACTCATTTTTCATAATATACATTCAATACACGAATAATGTACTTTTAGTAATTTTGCCAATCACCGCACATTATTTCATGGACCATTTGGCAATTTATATTTTGTTATGATCCACTTAAAAATATACTTTTGTTATGGACCATAACAAAAGTATAATTTGCCAATCACCACTCATTATTTCATGGACCATGAACCAAATAAGTTATGTCGACCATTAATAAAATGTACTCCGTATTATATTTTTAATATGCTAAAGGTGCATTATTATTAAAGAATATATATTCAATAAATAAATAATATACCCTTAATATATATTAAAAATGTATCTTTATTCATGGTCCACAAAAAAATTTGCCTAATCTTAATAGGTAACACCCCAGCGAATTGAAAATTCAACTAATATAATTCCCTACAACACACACACACAAAGTGGAATATTAAAACTAAAAAAGGCAAAATCATTAGTAATCAATGCATTTATAGCTGATGGAAAAAAATGGTTAACATTTCCATGGTTGGAAAGGCATCCCAGCTTGTCAATGTAGTTTTCCCATGTGCTACGTGACCTACTTCTATACACTTTGGAGGGCCCACATAAAATTAGTTATAATTTTTTAAAAAAATAATTCTTTTTATAGTATGTAATCAAAGTTGACATCTGTCTTAATACTGCAAATACATTTCTTATGAAACAAGTTTAGAATTCAACATAAATATAAAAAATTCAACACTACTAAATAGGAAAAATTCTAATTATTATAAATAAAAAGAGACAGTGACATTTCATATATAAACACATTGAAATGACAATATGCACATTTAATCGATTTTAAATTGTTTAAGTATCGTTTTCAAAAAAAAAATGTTTAAATATTACTATCATGTAAGATTAAAGTAATATACTTAGACGACTACCACAAAATATATTTTACCATGTATAACAAACACATCTCGACCAAGTTGTGTGAATATTTTTTTTATTTTTTATTTTTGTCAGCCTACAAGATATCCTGAACAGACCCTAACTGTAGGAGGCACCTTTAAACACGTATATTTAGATGAAAGTAACTCTTGCGTAAGATCATCTCACGTGAGGCGTGTAATAGTACATTTTAACTAAAAAGTAGTACATATCTTACAGTAAGACAATCTTCTCACACAAGACTTATTCTTCAGATGATGTTAACTTGTTAGCAAGGGAGAATCCATTAACCTGACATAATGGGCAAGGAATCCATACAGCTAACTAGAGATGTACTACTCACTACACATGATCTCTTATTTTTAGATGCATATTTAATGTTCATAATGATTATGAACTTGGTGAGTTGTGTGTAGGTATGAAGTGTATAAAAATGGAAAATGCCAGGTGGCTACCAAATAATTTGGCACAAATAATATGGTTCCATCTGGTTATAAAAATTTGGAACAAATCAGATGAAGCCACATCATTTGGGACAAATTATTTGAAGTATTTGTCATTATCCTTTAAAATAAAAGGAACATTTTTAGGGAGGTTAAGAATGCATTGTTGAACACATGAACCAGAGACACAAGTTCCACCTAAATATTAAGGAAAAATCGAATAGTGGAGTAGACAAATATACATGAAAGCATTCAAGAGAGGAGGAGATACATTCCTATGGCCTCTGGTAAAAATGAAGTCTCCATGTGATCTGGGATAGTTGTTGAATGAAGATAGTATCCCTGCAGAACAACACCAGAGGTCATTTTAGAAGAGAAAGGAAGATCTACAGAGTAACTGTCAGAATAATGACATTTGTGCATGCCAGTATACTTTTCAATATAGGAGATGAATTGAGGAGACTACAGGATAAGCATAGGTTTGGATTCTTCTTATTCCCAAGAATCCTACATTTACTCCACCAAAATAACATTCTGTGCATCTCTGATGCTTAAACTTATCCTACCAAATACCAAGGTCCTTTCAGGTTCATTTTCATTCGTTATGAAATGCTTAGAATATAATCTCAAATGAAAAAGGATTCAGGATTTGATAATATTGATATATGTCCTAAGTATATAGGCAAATAGCTACCCCCTCGTTTCCGAAGGAATATAAATAAATAAATACTTCACCCTATTCAAAATATCAAATGGATATAAAACATCCCATATTTAATCAAGATACAAGAAATCTGTAGAATTTATAACAAAGGTCCGTCAAAGCAAATCAATTCAATAGATGATTAATAATCTTTACCATATTATGCAAACAAATGAAATACCACTTAAGAGGGCAAATTTACGAATTTTGATTAAAAAAAAAAAAAAAAAAAAAAAAAAAGCCTTCCCAGAGCTTAATCTAATCATAAGCCCTTACCAGCAAATGACTGAAAGCTTAAAAAAGGAAAATGACCCCTAGATTTGGAACACTCTTGGTTGATTTTTTGAAAGACACAAACCATGTAGTGCTTTAGTAATTTTTATTGGTGGTGCCCCCTTGAATCCTTGATGAGTTGATGCCTTACTATACATGCAGTTTTTATTTTTTTTTGAAAAGCAAAGAATTTTATCAAAAGGCAGCTAAACTATACCACCCAACTTACAGCATAAAAATAAAAAATAAAAATAAAAAAGGAACTCCCAAAAACCTACACAAGTTTAAGATGATCTAATCACTTAAATAAAGAAACCATTTGATCAGGGGCAAAAAAAGAAGCTTGTTGAATTAATCAATGGCCATATGCACAACTTAATATCAGCAGTTTCTCTTACTCAAGATTATCCAAAGTAAAAAAAATAGTGGCCAAGTTCACTATGTTGCTTATTCTGTTTCTAAAGTGGTTCCATCTTAAAAAGACATCCTTGGTAGAGAAGATATAATGCACTGGATTCCTCCCAAAGGCAGAATAACATCCCAGCAATGTTTTCTCCAAATACAATGAAAAAGAAAATGGATAGTTGTTTACTCAGCACTGAGATAAAAAGGGTTACAGTTGACACGAATAATGTCTTTCTCAAGTTATCACCTGTTAGGAATTAGTATTGCATCCCTAGCAGCTTTCCATGTTAAAAGTTAAAACTGGAAAAATAAGTGGGTACTTGGGGCCTGTGTTACAGAAAATATTTTTCATTTTCCATTTCCAATTTTTCAAGTCTTCAATTTCGATTGGAAATTGAGAAAATATGTTCAAATTCATTTATTTTCCCATTTATAAAATATCATGTTATTTGAACTTCAATTGTTTTCTTCATGTAAAACAAATGTTAATGATAAGTGAAAAGTGTATTAGACTTACCAGTGGTGGGGGTAGGTACATGGGGTGAAGGATAGACAGATAGTCTTGGGTGAAAGTAACCAATGATTATAATGGAGGTGCAAGTGGTGGTGGGTAAGTAGGAGGGGTGGTATATTTAAGTAGGTGGAGTGGAGTATATAAATAGGTGGCTGTAGGAGAAAGTAAATGCATAGTGGTTGGTGGAAGTAAGAGATCATAATTATTGGAGTAATTGTGTTGATATATATTAGGTAGGTAACGGTGAGGGACTGCGGGTAGCTAAGAAGTTATTGGTAGAAACATAATCGAGATAGCTAAGTGAAGGTAGGAGTAAGTAGGTAGGGTTGAAGACTGTGGGTAAAGGTGATGTATGTTTTTGCATGTAAAAGTTTTAAAAACACTAAAAAAAATAAGTGCTTTTCAAATTTCTTTTGTAAGTTGGGAAGTACTTTTCATTTTGGTTTATTGGTCAAAAATATCAAAGCCTTTACGTCTTGCAACAATTCTAGAGAAACCTTTTAAAGTTAGTAATTTAATGCCAAATTTTAAAATGTTACTGCAATACTGGCCAACTTTTTTAACGTATTCAAAAAGAACAAAAAAATAAATTCAACTTAAATTGGCTTATATATTTGTTATACATAACATAGAATAAATGATATTCTTTCTCAAGTCAAGAATATAGCTAAAATGTTATTGCATATAAATTACATTAAAATAATAAATTATTACTGGTATAACAAATCTTGCAAAGATCACAAATGACCAATATGCATTAAACTACTAATCGATTATTTAATTAAAAAGTATTTAACAGGGTACAAATAAAGCTTTTAAGAATTTACATGATTTTTTTTAATGCAAATTCAGGCTGAATAGGATTTTATTTGATCAAGTTAAAAATTAGCTAGAAATGCACCAACGTTTCAAATTTTGGTACTAAATCAACAAATTTAAAAGATTTTGGATTTGTTTCACCAATAAGCATTTCATTTTCTAATTTGGAAAATAATTTATTTTTCACCAAAAACTCTAATTTCCAGTTTTCAAGAAAATGGGAGAATTCTCCATTCATTAAAAAACCTTTAACTTTTCTAATATGCTTCCGACACACATACACATGTATTTATATATAGAAAATTCAACAACACCGTATAGCATGATGCATTGATGCTGTACTATCAAAAAAATGAAAATACGGAGGAAAATTGAGTAAATAAAATAAAACAAGAATATTAATTTGTTGCCAATGTTGGATTCATAAGCACACTTTTAGATTAAGAAACCATGTTATACAGCATAATATACATTCTCATATTGATGTATATCTCACACACATGAACATAAAAACTGCTAAAGCCAAGATAATATGCCACTGTATCCAATAAAGCAAATAGCCCAAAAACTTGCAAAAAACCATAAATAAACAGTAAACACAATTAATTACTACTAACAGAAGACTTAAATAACCATGATTAAGCCCATGACAGTAGCCTAATATCACATTACAAAATTATGGACTATGATTTCAGATATGAAGATATCCAGGTTTACTCTGAAATAGGATAGATGAAAGTTCCAGCATCATTAAGATCAAACCATAAATCAATTATGTAGAATTCTGGAAATTCAGCTTTGAAGATTTCCAGTTTTAACTGAAATAGGAAAAGAAGCAACTTTCCAGTTTCACTAGGACCGAAACAAGGAGAAAGTATGTAGAGTTCTGCAAATTAAGCAAATAAAGGGTCACAGGAACTCTCAGTTTTGACCTGTTTAGGTCATGTACAATGCACATACACACAACAAAACATTTCGGTGCAAAGTGACTCAAAAGCCAAACCTAAATAAAAATTAACTGCAATAGAGCTAGTGTCGTAATTATAGTGATACACACCCAAGGGAATGGGTGGTCTACTCACGCAAAAAAAAAAGGGAATCAACAGAAAATTGGAAACAGGAAATCTGGACAGCAAATCAGGCCAATCAAACAATCAACACACAGATCAAGGGACAAGCTTAAATCAGGGAACCTTTTACTATATTTATTTTCTGCATTGCAGTATAAATTGTAAGGATCGCATCCAATAATCTATCCTAAGCTCTAGCAGCTGGACAAGAGCCTAAAACTCTTGTTGGAGGGTGTCTTAGTGACAACCCTATATCCCTTTCCCATTCAATAAAGCCACTTCATCTTTCTTTTATCTTTTTCCTGATCTTTACTCTAACATATAGCAAGCCACCAAACTTCCTGATTGCATCAAGTTCATAGAGAATTGCTGCAAAGTAATTATCCATAAAATTGAATAGAATGAGAGAGGACCCATATTAACCAAACAAAAAATAATAATTTAAGTACCTCAAGATCTGTAATGACTATTGAGTGCTTGTTTGGCTCTTCTTAAGCTTCTTGGAAAATGAGGTTTTGTTTAAAAGCCACAACTTTGCAGCTTCTTAAAGAAAACACTTTTGCCTCTTATCAACCTTAGAACCCGTTTCTCTCTTCTTTTTTTGGGCCCAGCTTCTGCTTTTAGCATAGACAAGCTCCAATTGAGGCATAGGCCAAACAATCACTAAATATTTAAGTGTATTATATTTTATTATTAACAACACCTAACAAATCACGAGGAATTATATTTTCTCATCCACAGTATTATCAAATTTCAACCTGAGGCTAGATTTTGTATACTATCCATGTACTCCCTGCACACCGCCACTAGGTAATGAGTTCAATCCATGAATTCAAGCTCCATAGAAAATGGAGAAAACATACCATACATCTTCTTACCATAAACCATATATGGTGTAGCAGCCTTCCACACGTGGTCCAATCTAATGTCAAGTATTTTCTTCACCCTCTATACTATAGCAGTGCATCTAAGGGCCTATAGCTATTACGGAGTATTTATTAACTGTTCTTCCTGATCATGAACTTCTTGAAAGCTGTTCCACTAACCACTCACGTGAATCAGAAAGCATAACTTAGACAAAAACAAAAAACATACGGAGTAAATATAATTTCTGTAGTTTCTATCAACTCCCTGCCTTAATTAGGATGATACCGCCTAACAAAGCATAATGCAACTTTAAGATGAGTGCACTTGAAAAATAAATAGATACAACCAAAAGAAAACACAGTTCCTCTGTTCTCTAGGGAAGTGGTTTGGTATTGCTCCTTCAACCACCCCTACTTCTACTCAAGCTATCACCCAATGTAACAGCGGTTCAAATATACAGGTCTTAAGTCCGGAATCCTAAACACTACATTTTCTTTTGCAGAACAAAACAACTGCATTTTCTTCCCACCACTACGGCACTACCCATTGCCCTGATGGGCATCAATGTATACATTACAAACACTTTTAGCTAGACAAAGTGACATCAACACCACTCATTCAAGGAAGGGGGCATCAGACAATCAGAGCCAACAGCAAACACTAAAGGACAGAGATCAACTGCCAGTTCCATAATATATATTAGTAATCGAACACTGAATCACATATTTCAACATAATTCAACCACAATCCATACTAAAAATACATAGACAAAGCAACCAATAAATAAATAAATAAAAAGAAAGCTAGGGTTTTACCGTAATGATCGCAAGAGAACGAAGTGAAGTGAATTGATCCTTCCAGGGAACTAGTGTCGCTTAGTTCTTTGAGGCTGCTTCTCGGTTGCAAGGCGAAAAACCCAGTAAACCTATACGAGAAGATAAAAAAGGACAAATCATAAGACAAAAGCGAGAGATAGAAAGAGAATTAGTGTGTGTGTGTATTGGGGTACCAGAGCGAGGACGTGAGCGGCAACTAGGATGAGAAGGAGAAGAGAGCCGGCTGCCAGTATCCATGACTGACTGCTCGAAGTAGATGCGTGAGCTTGAGGATTCGCCAGTTTCGATTTTCTGAAAATTACCAGAAAATAGGTGGGAGCGAGAGTGAGAGTGAGAGTGAGAGAGAGAGACGTGTTTGAGGTTTTCGGCTTACGGCCTACGGGTCACTTCGATCAAACGGCAGAGACCGACCCGCGGGATCAAGGAAAAAGACAATTTTATCCCGGAGAGTGCAAGCTATTGAAGTGCGCATGAAATTTGAGTTTTTTACATTTTTTGTCCCACGAATATAGTTGGCACTATCATAATTAATCCATGACTTTTAAATCTTGTATTTTCAATTCACGACTATTATTTTTGCTGTAAAATGATCCTTGCGGTCAATTTTCTGTCAAAATTTCACCGGAGAAAAAATTATTCATTTCAAACAGAGATAAAATAGACATTTATATTAACCTTGCAATCTCTGACCACTATTAACCTCTTATTCTTATCAAAGTGCGAAAAAATCAAACCCAAAAAAAAAAAAACAAAAAACAATTTGAGACGAACCCCAATCTACTATTGTATTTTCAATTCATGACTATTATTTTTGCTGTAAAAATGATCCTTGCGGTCAATTTTCTGTCAAAATTTCACCGGAGAAAAAATTATTCATTTCAAACAGAGATAAAATAGACATTTATATTGACCTTGCAATCTCAGACCACTATTAACCTCTTATTCTTATCAAAGTGCGAAAAAATCAAACCCAAAAAAAAAAAACAAAAAACAATTTGAGACGAACCCCAATCTACTCTCATCATATATATCCATAATAATAGAATGAGGCCGAGTTATAGACAAAGAGATTGATCCTAGGGCTATGACCTCATCATATATATCCATAATAATAGAATGAGGCCGAGTTATAGACAAAGAGATTGATCCTAGGGCTATGACATGGCCGGTTTGCAGATCGTTTATTCCAGTTCCACTGGACTAATCCTTGTTAGTATTATTATTATTTATATTATTGTTATATCATATAGTTTGTATTAGTTGAATAAGTCTCCCGTAACTTACCTTTTAGATAGGAGTTATTTCAGCTTCTCACTTCCTTTAGTATTGTAATCTCTTATCTGTTTCAGTTGAATTGAAAACGTTACTCTAATCTGGTATCAGTTAAGCCATCGATCCAAAATCTCCTTCTTTTACTCCCATCCTCCGATTATCATGTCCTCTCACTCTTCCGAAAGAACAGTCACGGCAGCCACCACTGGCTCGCCGGCCACCACCCAAAACAACCTTGCATCCGCCATCACTATGTCTCCATCAAGTTAACCTCCCGTAACTTCTTGTTCTGGAGGACACAACTTATCCCTTTTCTACGCGGGCAAGATCTTCTCAGGTTTGTTGACGGTAGCATGCCATGCCCTCCGGCAACCGTGGATGTAGCTCCGGCCTCCGGCGAATCTGGTTCAGGGGGTGCCACGGCGGTCTCCGGCCCCAATCCTGCGTATCACGCTTGGATTAAACAAGACCAATCCATCTTATCTCTCTTGATTTCATCACTATCTGATGAAGTCATGTATTTAGCTGTTGGCAGGAACACTTCACAAGAGGTGTGGCAGTCGATTGGGGCGGCACTGGGCTCTTCTACACGCGCACGCTGTTTAAATCTGCTGGGTCAATTTCAATCGATTCGGCAGGGCAACAGTTCCACGGCGGAATTTCTGGGCAGGGAGCAGCTCCTTGTTGAATCATTGGCGTTGGCCGGCCGTCCGTTGTCTTTGGATGAGCAGAACATGTATGTGTTCAGGGGATTGCGTCCGGAATTCCGGGCGTTGGCAGCTTCACTCACTGTAACAGGTACACCCGTTTCCATACCGCAGCTTCTGGACTACCTGCAGGCTCAAGAATTCATCATCAGTGATGATTTTCCGGCTGGCGGCGATGGCGGTATTGGGGGTTCTCCGACAGCTATGATCGCCGGACGTGGCCGACACCAGTCCAGTGACGGTGGTTCTGGACAGTCCCGTGGCGGACAGAACAGAGGGCGGAACGGCCGTGGACGTGGTGGCTCCGGTCGCGGCAGAGGTGGTACTCCAAGGTGCCAAATATGTAGATCCCATGGACACACTGCTGTTTATTGTTTTAAACGATATTCGACGCAACCTCCGGCGCAGGCGAACCTTGTTGTCGCTGGTGATGATGTAGCGGCAGCCCCGGCCACTTCCTGGTATCCGGATACAGGGGCAACAGCGCATGCCACGCCGGAGACATCCATGCTAACGCAATCTGAAGAATATAATGGAAGTGATGTTTTGCGAGTCGGGAACGGGGCAGGTTTGATTATCTCACACGTTGGCCATGCGTCTATTCCATCCCGTCTTAAATCTCTGTCCCTGTCTAATATTTTACACGTCCCTAAGTTGTCTGTTCCCCTCTTATCTGTACATCGTTTTGCTAATGAAAATGATGTTTTTTTTTGAATTTCACAAGGATTATTTTGTTGTTAAGGATTCCGCCACCAAAATGATTCTACTTAGGGGACCTGTCTCGGGTGGTCTGTACAAGCTCCCGATGTCGCAAACACATTTTGCCTTCATAAGTTCCCGGGCCAATCCGGGGGTGTGGCATCGCAGGTTGGGTCATCCGCATGCTCAGGTTCAAAGTCGTGTACTCCAAAATGTTCCGGTCACCGTAAATAAATCCAAGGCGTCGGGCGTGTGTACGGCATGTCATCTCGGGAAAGCATCCCGTTTTCCATTAGATAGGGTGTTGTCATCTAGTCATAATGTATTAGATCTGTTGTACACTGATATTTGGGGCCCGGCTCCCGTTATTTCTGCCTCTGGTCATCGTTACTTCTTATTATTTGTAGATAACTTTTCCCGATTCTGCTGGTTTTATCCGTTAAGGCTAAAATCAGATATTTATAAAGTTTTTGACTGCTTTCGTGTCATGGTAGAACGGCAATTTTCCCGTTCTATCAAATCAATTCAATCCGATTTAGGGGGTGAGTACCTAAAACTACACAAAACATTCCAGTCCTTAGGTATTGTTCATAGGCAGTCATGTGCCTATACACATGAGCAAAATGGCCGAGTTGAACGCCGTAATCGACATGTAGTTGAAACCGGGTTAGCCCTAATGGCTGAGGCGTCTGTACCCCAAAAATATTGGGACTATGCCTTTGAAACGGCTAGTTGCCTAATAAATTATATGCCCTCAGCTACTTTACAATACAAGAGTCCATACACAAAGTTACATAATGCGTCTCCCCCATACACATTCTTACGAGTCTTCGAGTGCCGGTGTTATCCCTATCTAAGGCCTTACAATCGCCACAAGATAGAGTACCGGTCCGCTCCTTGTGTCTTCCTAGGTTATCCACCGTCCTTTAGGGGTTATAGGTGCATGGACCTAACAAGTGGGAAAATCTTTATTTGCCGTCACGTCCGATTTGATGAAACCAACTTTCCTTTTGCAGAATGTTCTAATGCAGCTCCAACACAATTGACTCTGGCACTGACACCTTGGGCCGTTGGGCCCATTGTCCCATGTAATATACCTGTAGCTATGCCACCGAGTCCTACACCGCCAATACCAGAACCTATTCCATCGGCACAAGAGGACCCACCGTTGGCTATAGCAGCTCCAGCCGCACCAAGGGCCCGAAAACGGGCTCGCCTGCAACAAAGGGGACATGTAATGCGTTTACGATGCATGACCCGTGGCACAAATGAGCAATTCCAGGCCCTAAGTGCTACAACGGATCCCACGTGCTATTCTCAAGCAGTTGGGCATCCGGAGTGGCGTGACGCCATGGACCAAGAGTTCAATGCGTTGCTGCACAATAACACATGGAAACTCATCCCGGCTACACCGAACATGAATATCATTGGGTGCAAGTGGGTGTTTCGCACCAAACGGCATGCAGATGGGTCAGTCGAACAGTATAAGGCACGACTCGTTGCAAAAGGGTTTAATCAAGTCGCCGGGGAAGACTTTTTTGACACCTTCAGTCCCGTTGTAAAGCCCACGACGGTACGCATGCTGTTTTCCATCGCGGTATCCCGAGGGTGGACTCTCCGTCAACTCGATGTCCACAATGCCTTTCTCAATGGTCACCTTGTTGAAACCGTATACATGAAACAACCACCCGGTTATGAAGACCCCACAAATCCGGACTATGTATGTCACTTGCAGCGCTCTCTCTACGGGCTAAAGCAAGCTCCACGGCTTGGTTCAAACGGCTTCACGATTTCTTGGTCGCGGCAGGTTTCGCCTCATCCAAGGCAGATATCTCGCTGTTTTACTACTCCCGGGGTGAGTCACGAGTGTTTCTGCTAGTTTACGTGGACGACATTATTATGATGGGCAATGACACCGACTTGGTTGAGACTCTACTTCGACAACTTTCGACTGTGTTTAAAATCCGTGATCTTGGAACTCCGGGGTTTTTTCTTGGCATTGAAACTCTGCACACCAGTAACGGACTTCTCTTGACACAGCGCAAGTACATGCGTGATCTTCTTCAGCGAGCTGGAATGACGGACTGTAAGCCGCTTGCTACCCCAGCCGCTGTGACGAAAGCAGTTACACCGTCTACACAGCCTTTCGACAATCTAACACAATACCGGCGGATAGTTGGGGCTCTTCAGTATCTCACCATCACTCGTCCTGACTTATCTTATGCGGTTAATCGTCTTTGTCAGTTCATGCACTCTCCGATTGTGGATCATTGGGGGCTATTGAAGCGGGTCCTGCGGTACATAAAGGGCACTATTGACTTTGGGTTACGTCTATCAGCTACGAGTTCCACTGCCATTCACGCCTACTCTGACTCTGATTGGGCAAGTTGTCCTATTGACAGGAAGAGCACTAGTGGGTATGCTGTCTTCTTGGGCTCTAATCTGGTTTCCTGGCTCTCCCGAAAACAGCGTACAGTTGCCCGCTCTTCTACTGAAGCTGAGTACAAGGCCTTAGCTGACGTCTCCGCAGAGGTTACTTGGATTGTTTCGGTACTTCGTGAGATTGGTTTGTACAGTGGGTGTCCAGCTACCTTGTGGTGTGATAATTTGGGTGCGACGTATTTGTGCGCCAATCCGGTTTTTCACGCCAGGACTAAACACGTCGAAATTGATTACCATTTTGTTCGGGATCGTGTTGCGGCAGGCGACTTTGTTGTTAATTTCGTGTCTACTAGAGATCAGCTCGCAGATGTGTTCACCAAACCTCTACCAGCGTCTCGGTTTGCAATGCTCCGTGACAAGCTCAACGTTGTCTCTCATCCACCGTAAGCTTGAGGGGGTGTGTTAGTATTATTATTATTTATATTATTGTTATATCATATAGTTTGTATTAGTTGAATAAATCTCCTGTGACTTACCTTTTAGATAGGAGTTATTTCATCTTCTCACTTCCTTTAGTATTGTAATCTCTTATCTGTTTCAGTTGAATTGAAAACGTTACTCTAATCATCCTCGTTCGCTCCAGGAGATACAAGAGCTAGCCCAATGGGAATTGTCACTTGTGAGAATCAAACCCAAGTTATTCAAGAATTCCTCCTCACAAAGAGAACTTATTCGTCACTTGAGCTATATACCCCATTGGGTTATCCAGAGGTTATTTTCAATTTCTGTATCTATATGAAACATGCACGCACCCCATATAGCGTGTATGCTCGATCTATATATTAAGTTAACTACTTCATCTCTGATCTATAGAAGTATAAATGGTGGATAATTTTTTAGGATTTTTTTTATTCCCAACCCGTCTTTAGCTACCATGAAGAATATAGGAGGAGTTACAGTAGAAGAAACATATGTTTATGGACAAGAATCTAAATATGCAATGATAGGTCAAAACTCAAAACTCAACAAGAAAACAGAAAGAAAAAAAAAAACAAAAAAAACAATTGGATAAAGATCCAATGAATTGGAAGTCCACCAACAATGGACGAATCTGCAGCAAAGGAAACACAAGCGTAAAGAGCAACAATAATTATCTCTGTAAATGTTCATGCACTTTAAGCTGTCGTGAATGTAAAAATAACTCTACAACTCCAAAAGCATGATGAAAGTTATTAATTTTTATCTGAAAAAATGTGGTCGAGTTAGTTAAAACATGACTTTCGTATCAAAATCTCACGAGTTTAAGGCCTTGTTTGGTAAAATGGTTGTTAGCTAATAGCGGTTAGCTGTTAGCTGATTGTGTTAATTAGATGATATAAATAGTTGATAACATTAGCTGATTGTAGAAAAGTGTTTGGTAAATTAGCTGTTAGCTGATAGTTGTTTGGTATAATTTTTTTTTTCAAAAAGCTAATTGAAAAAATTGCTTGGAGTAGCTTTTTGAATTTTAGCCTTTTGGAGTTACAAAAAGCTAATTAATCAAATATTTATATTGATATTTTAACTAAATTAAATAATTAATAGTGGTCAAATAAACCAAAATTGGCCTATATGCCATTTTTTTACTAAACAGGGCCTAAATATTCTTAACATCATCTGACCATCTTGATCAAACTGATGTCACAAGATTTTACAAATGTCGATTTCTTGTCACACAATAGCCTGATTGACCTGTGCCGCGTGTGTTGTGTCATTTGTCAAGGACAAATATTCATGTTTTAACAGTGCAAAAGTTTATATTAAAAGAGTTAAGAGAACAAAATATTTGTCTATCTAAGAAGCGGACAGATTAATAGATGAAAATTTTAATGATATCATCGTAAGTTAATTAAAAATTGATAGTTAATAATAAACCATGGTTGCCCCTTGCCAAAATAGTATTGTTGGCATAAATAAATAAAAATTGTATAGGCAATACCAATATTAAAAATAGTTAAAAAGATCAATAAGTAGTACTGCCCACCAAATGTCAAAAGTTTAATTTAATTTAAATAGCTAATAAATGCATAATTTAATAGTTAAAATAAATATTAATATGAAAGCTACTGACTTTATTACATTATAGTATATATAATTAGAAAGATGGTTAAATAGACCCTTAAACTTTACACCAAAAGTTAATTTGACACCTAAACTTAAAAAAAAAAAATTAATTAATTAAACCGTCAAACATGTTATTTTTGGTCAAATAAATCAAATTTACCGGTAATATTACACCGTTGATCGTAATTTTTTATGTTGACCGGCATTGTCGAAGAGCAATTTTACCTAGAAGCATCAATCATGTCGCCTTCTCCGGATAGAAGGTAACCAGAAAAGTTCACTTCTCCAAAAAGACGACGACCAGGTCATAAAAGGTAACTTGAAATTTAAGTGGCCGGAGATTCGTCGAATTTTTCATCGAAATGAGAGTGACTGCCTATAACAGATTGGTTACCGATTAGTGAATTTAGTTGCACCAAAAGAATATATTTGAGGGTTTAATTACACTTTTTAAAGTTCATGTGTTTAATTAATTTTTTATGTACAATTTAGGGATCTATTTTTATCATTTTTCCTATAAAATTTAATAATCAAAATTTCAACTGTAATTATAACTTTTTGTCAACTTTTTCCCACAAAACTAGATTTAGAAAGGCGAGATTTTAAAAATAAAAATAAAAACTATAAATGTGTTTTTCAAAATTAATTAAAATTGACATTTGACACATAGGTCGGCAGCGGCTCAGCATGGACGTGGACCGGACCACAAGGCCACGTGTATGGCAGGAAATTGAGAGATCTCATCATCCAATGATCTGTAAGATTTTGATTCGTTGTGGACCCATCAAAATCTTCCTACCTTATCTCCCCATTTTTGTCCATTCTTTATTTCCTCTTCAATCTTCATTGTTGACACTGACGCAGTGCCTACACCCTACCCACTATTTTCATTTTTATTATATGGAGTACTTTTTCAAATAATTCATTAAAATAATAGCATTTTTTAAAATAATAATCTAACTTTACTATTCAATTTTCTTTTTATTTTACACTTATAATAAATGATTTTAATTGAGTAAATTATAATTTATACATTAAAATAAATAAAGATTCAGTATGTAAAATAGTTATTGCAATTACAATCGTCGTGACATAGTACAAGTATGAAAATGAATTTAGTCTTGATTTATTTTAAATTGAGAATTTGAATTTCATCATGTTCAATGAAAATAAATGCACATATAAATAAGAGTAAATACCCAAAACGGTCCCTCAACTATAGCTAAATTCACAAATTGGTCCTCGACTTTCAATTTCAGCCAATTAAGTCCTTAACTTTGTAATTTTAACACAATTTGGTCCTCTGTTTATTTGACCGTTTGTTGACTGTGATTTTTGAGGATATATATGTAATTTCATGGTCCATCGTCGATTTTTTAAGGTTCTGGTTGCATTTCTAGACCGCACGGTTACATTTGAATCCGCTGTCGAAAGCAATCTACCAAATCCGGTCGCCTTTCTTCATTCTCCAGTTGGATTCAATGTAGTTGAGTTCGTACCAGAGCGAAAAAGACGACGTGTTTCTGAACCAGTGCAACGTCATCCTGGAGGTCTTCACGTGCTCCGACGAGAGCTGAAGGTTCTTCTGGAGATCGACGATCACAGTCAACAAACGGTCAAATAGATGGAGGACCAAATCGTGTCAAAATTACAAAGTTAAGGACTTAATTGATTGAAATTGAAAGTCTAGGACCAATTTGTGAATTTAGCTATAGTCGATGAACTATTTTGGTATTTACTCTATAAATAATAATTTTTTATTCCATAAGCATGAAAAAGCTAGATATGGATAGAGGGTTTCAAATGATTGTTCTCTTTAAGCTTGTATACGAATTCCTTGTAGAATAAGTATATGGACAAATTAAAGTAGCATTTATTCTCTAGGTGATCGCCAAAATAAATAAAAATAAACATCCAAATTATAAATTTGGCACAAACCGTGTGGTGGACCACAAGTATATGTATGATATTCTAGATTCGTACAATAATGTTATTTACGCGGTTTATATTGACAAAATACTGTAATGTGTGATAGTGCATCATGATATGATTAACATTAAAAAAAAAAATGCTTTCTCAAATATGGGTTCACTTTCATTTTCTCTTATGAATTTTTAAAATGTTATTTTTTTTAAATAAACAAACTAAATTGTATTTGTTAACCATTTTTTTTAAATAAAAACAATAGAATGTATTATTAAGATTCAAATTAAAGAAAGGGTGAATACATGGGAGCGGGGGAACCGTTCCAATGTTGATAACTAGACTGAGAGTCAGTAGCCCGTGCTAGTGTGTGTGTCACATGATTTGCTTATCTACTAATATAACGTATGTGCACATTAGATAATGAATTTAGTAAGCTAAGACAGCCTTCGAGGATAGCTATTGTGTAAGAAAGGTCAGGAGACTAAAATTATATTTTAACCTTAATACATATAGTTGATTAATATAATTTGTAAATATAAAGTTCTTGATTTAAAATTTTAATTGTATATTTATATTTGAACTTAAGGAAAATTTGGTCAAAATAAGTGAAGAATTTTTGTTTTTTCAAACTAGTTGACAATTGATATCTTTATTTACAAGAATATTGGGGATACTGGAATATTCTCATATTCCTATCTCTTCTTTGACTCTACTATATATAATGGGGAATTGGGGATCGATCACTTTCAATTTTCAAGCATCTCTCTCACTTTGGCCATTATTTGATTGAATGTTAACATTTGTATTATACTACATGTTCATTGAAATTAAACTGCATATTCATTCAGCTATCAGTGCAAATATGTGTGAATATTCATGCAACAAGGTACACATTAAACTAGTGCATAATATAGTTGTTGGTTTTATGGTTATGTAACTAATTAAGGAGGAAATCAGACGAATATAAATTCGTGTAAAATTATAAGAATGATGAAGATAAAAAAAATAGTAGCTTGGGAAATCTATAAAGTAGAGCAAAGTGTGTGTGTGTGTGTCTATATATATATATATATATATATATATATATATATATATATATATATATATATATATATATTGCTCTAGGAGTTGAATTGAACAACTCTTTTTTTCTCCCTTCTTTCATGGTCAAAGGGAGGGGTGCTACCCCAAAATATCACTCCTCTGCATTAAAAAAGACTTATTAACTGCTCAGTGCGATTGTGTCTTACAAAAAATATATATTTATGATGACACTATTAGCTATAAATATGAAGTAGAAAAAATTATAATTCTTGTTATCGACGTAGTCAATATATTATAGAGCATGGAGTATATGGTATATATGATAAGACTACTTGAAATTAAATTTAGTTAAAGTCTCCCTCTTGCAAATAAAAACTACTAGTATAATTCAAATAAATTGGAATAATAATTTCTTAAAAAAAGAAAATAACATTTGCTTACGGTAATATATATGTATACGATATTCATACATATACGTAGGCATATATTGGTATGATTGGCATAGTCATGTTGATATGACAGTAATACTATATATTGTCACACCAATCAATTACTTTTAACAGTGCATGCTCAATTATATTCTTAATTTTAACATTTTTTAAAACATGCACAATAATAAAATAATTAAAAGCTTACATTATCCAAATGACATTTCAAGAATGATTTTAGATGAGAATAATATAGTGGACATCATTTATTTAAGCGACTTAAGTCAATCATTTTCACTTAAAACATTATTTAATAGTTTTAACACATCTTTAATTACACTTTTTTTTAACGTAAATAGTACTATATATTTAACCGTCAACTAACACGAGTAAACTAATATCCAAGTTCATTATTCATGCAAGAGGATTAAAATTCAAGCATCGTCACATTGGTACAATTATTGTTTATGAATGTTATAGTTTTGCAAATCTTACCCCAAAAGTTGAACTCACACCTCATAAAATATTTGGTATGATGTAAATCATGCACGGTAACTCAGTGACTCAGTAGACATTCTCAATTTGTTAATGCACACAAGGGATCTACCCATGCCACTAATAGGGAATATTCTCCAAGTATACCTCCTTCTAAGTCACGTACACCTGCTCGGTATCCAATAAGGTCGCCGACATAAACCATAACCGACCACCTTTCCCGACCACATGAATGATATTCCTGACCTAAACGTTAAAATCGAGCTAGCTAAAGCTTGCAGTAGTGCCCCCGTTTCTTAGGGACCGACCCCAACCAGTTCAGATCTGAACGACCATCCCGATAAAGGCTACTTGAGGATTTGGACATGGATTTCAGGCTTTAACCCCATCCCATCTTAGTGGACGATCAGGAATCTAAGCACACATAGCTACCAATGTGAAGTTCCCGAGCCCATCGACTGCATGTGCGACACGTGTCAGCCATGCCGAGAACCCGACATGTGTTCCCTTCTCATCGCTATAAATACCACATTCAATGCTAAAGGAGGGACTTTTGGCCTTTTCCTACAACATTATAGCTCGTGAGCCTCTAACCCTACATTCCCACCGGAGCTCAACACTTAAACCAACAAGTAGGCTGTCGCAGGGCCCGGATACAACCCGATTCATTAGTTCAAAGGTATTGGTATTTACATTATCACCCACCTTGGGCATAGCCTCACATTATTGCTACTGAGTTTCGAACCTTGATCTCTTGATCCGAATATTGTAACCATCAAGCTTGTGCGACCCAACGATTTTCACCCTCTTGAGTCTTGAGTGTGAACACTTGGTATTGGTCTTACCACTTAATGGACTACTAAGTTACCATAACTTAACTCATTTACAATTTGTGTAGAGACGAAAGAAGAAAATTTGCATTTTACACCAAATATATATACTTAAAATGAAGATCTAACAAACAACAGCTCATTACATTATTACCATTGACAGAAAAATGTAACATGGAATTACATAGTCAGCCAGAAGTGGAAAATGCATCAGAGTCAGACACTGAATTAAACACAGTATAAATATATACAGCAGCAGTAACAACACGACAACATGACACCCAGATCGAGCTCAAAATTTGCCCAAAATTTTTATTCCATCGCCGCCGCGGCGAGCTTAATAGTTAATACGACGGCACGACGCCGTACGACGCGTCGGCGGCGAGGAGGGAGTCGACATCTGCGTCGGCGCGCTTCGCGAACCTCCCCTTGATCCTCGGCCGGGTCTCCGCGTACGCCTTTCTGGAGGCGTATCGGATCGTCTTCTCGAACTTGCGGTTCTTTCTCTTCTCCCGGTACCTTAACACCCTCGCCTCCCGGTCCAGTCCCGACAACGGGTTGGGGACGGCCTCGCCGGTGCCGGTGCTCCGGCCAAACGCCGGGTTGGACACGTCCGCCATCGCGTTCTGGTCCGGCACAACTCCCACGTCCATCGACGACGACGATACCTGTGTAATAGTAATACACAACATTTAGAACCCAATTTTTTGCGTAAAAAGTATATATATATACTAAAAAGATTAGTTTAGGAAGATGGAAGAAGAGCGCATACGCTATGGCTGATGGTTTGAGTGGCGAAGTTATACATGAACGGCGGCTTAGATCCGGCGGCGAAGTCGATTTCATAGGTGGGAAATCCGTCGACGACGGGGCCGGGAACGTGGGTAGGCTCGGTTTTGTTCAGCACCGGGACGACGCCGTCGGAATTGTAGTGTTGCCGGGGGTTTTGGTGGTGGGGCTTCTGATCTCCTCCGCCGGGGATCATTTCCATGTCCAGATAAGAATCCATGTCGCCGCCGAACAAGTAGTCGGCGGTTTTGTACTCGGGACCCTCCAAATCGACGCCTTTGGCATTATTCGGAGTGGGGAGGAGCCACGAAGCGGCCTCCGCCTCCTCCTCCGCCTCAGGGTGGTTGTCGGAGTCGTTGCTGAAGTACTGTTCGCCGGAGGAAACGGACGGGGAGCCGTGTTTGGCGTCGACGGCGGAGTCGTAGAACGGCACCACCGGGAGGCGCTCGTGGCGGCGGGCCAGCGGGTTGGCGGAGTGGATGTCGCGGTCGCAGGTGACGCAGAGGGCGGCGGCGTCCGCCTTGCAGGTGAAGCTCGCCGGGGCCTGCTCGCAAACCTCGCAGACCAGGACCCGCGCGTGGCGCGACGCGAGCTTGTTGGCCGCGTGGATCTTGGAGTCGCAGCTCAGGCAGAGGAACGCCGTGTCGGCGCGGCAGAAGACGGTGGCCGACGCCCTCTTGCAGGAGTCGCAGAGTTTCGCCGTTAAGCTCCAATTCTCCGCCCCCATCTCCGTTTGTTTTTTTTTTTTTTTTAAGCTTCTCTCTCTTTCTCTCTCTAGAGCATGTCCTGTCCGCGAAACTGTGAAATGGACTATGGAACGCTGCTTGCCTTTCATTTTTCATTTATGTATTTCTTTTTAATAGATTGTGTTTTGGAGTTTACAATAAACTTCTCAAAATCAGATAAATTAAATTGTGAGTTGCCAAAATAATCTCCCAGTCTATCCCGTGATTGATTGCTATATTGAGTACTATTGACTCTAAAATTTGGACTAGTAACCTCTCACTTAAGATTGTCACAAAGATGTCATTGAGTTTCAAGTTACTTGTAAATAATAAAGAGTTAATTTTTTTCATTATAACCAACTACTATGTACTGTGATGACACCTCTGTTACCCTTACAAATGAGTTCGTCACATAATTAGGTGGTGGAACATTGATTCTTTTAGCCAAAAGAAATTGAAAAAGTATATAAAATATATATATATATACTAAAGGATATTAAAGAATTCATTTTCTCAAAACTTTATAATTTCATTTTTCATTAAAATAAATTATTCACTAACCAAACAAGGTAAAATATGTTTTTCATCAAATTTGAAGAAAAATTCTATATACAAATATTTTAAAGTGAACCAAACATGCAAATAATAATCTATATTTTTTTGTCCGCATGAACAGCTGAGTTGGTCACAGGATTGAAATTTGAGAATAATGATAAGGAATTGAATCTCACCAGTGACACTGCGGGAACAACCTCTAAAAGTGAGGGGTTTCTTTAATACTCCTAAATTATACTTTATAAATATTGAGTAACTCTTTTTTTTTTTTTTAATGTACACAAAAATGTCAAGTCATTTTATCCTTTAAAATTTTAACATTACATTGCATTGAAAGTATAAGGGCATCTCAAACCATGAAAATAAGAGGAGAAAGCGAGAGAAATGTGAAGAAAACGACTAGAGGGGGGGAAAGGTTTACTTCCGAAGATACCTATCTCTCCGGAGGTATAACGCGAAGGTGTGTGGCGCGTGAGCGACACAAAGACGCGCATATGGTAGGGAACAGTTTATCCCCCACCATGCTGCTTCATTTAAAAAAAAATGTTATTTAACCTCAAAAAAAAAATTGTATTTTATTTTATTTTGTATACACACACAAATATTATGTAGAATTTGCATTAGTATGAAAAAAATATAAATTATATATAAAAATATATAAGTTGTGAATGAATAAAATTCTAAGAACCCTAATCTACCATGTGTATATACACGCATAATTTGCATCAGCAAGAAAAAAAAAAATCTAAAAATCCTAATCTACCCTATATATACACACACAAATACTATATGTAGAATTTGCAGCAGGAAAAAAAGTATATAAATTATCTAAGGGTGTGATTTGGTTTATGAGTTTACACATCATGATTGGAAATCAAAATCATAGTGTTTGATTGACAACTTTTTAAAACACAACTATGAGATTTGATTACTCTTTCAATTAAAAACATCATTCTCTAATTAAAAATTGGTATTATTCCATATTATTTGTAATCTGATTTTTAAGTTTGGATTAGTGCTTTTAGATTTTTGTTTTGATTTTTGTATTCATATTGGTGTTTTGGATGTAATTATAGTATGATCAATTATCTTTGATTTTTTGTATTTTGTATTTTAAAAATATTTATTCATATTATAGGATCATAAACAACCAAACATCAATAATATGTTGATTTATGGCCTCAATGTCCTGGATTCCAAAACGTAAATACTCTTAAATTCGCACTTTGCTTGAATAATATGTTGTGCATCAATGATGAGCACTTAATATTGATTAGAGTGTAAGAAATTATTGCCATTTAAAAAATCGTACACAATTCAAATATAAGAACTATCTTATAAAAATCAATGTAAATATATCATTAAATTATGTCCATATTTTTTATACTTGTCAAGTTAGATACATACTTTTACACATCGCACATATAAAGACTAACAAAATACACTACAAGAAATCTGTCATTTCCCGACGAAAATTTTAAGACGCTCTAGAAAACGTCGCTAAATATAACAATTTGCGACGTTATATTAAATAACGTCACTATATATTTTAGTAGAGACAATAATTTTTTTTATAATATTTGCTGACGAAATATAATTTTTTCGTCAATAAAAATATAGAATCAATGACGTTTTATAATAAACGTCCCTAATGGTTTATTTTAAAAATTAATTTTAACATAAAACGTCAGAAAAAGTAAAAAAATTGTGCGGCAAAATTTTGATTCTCTGGCGCCATTACAAAAATAATCTCTTTAGAAATAAAAAAATATATATATCTAAAAACAAACTCTTCACATCTCTCGGCTTCTATTGCATATCTCTTCACATCTATCGACTTCCATTGCGATAACGCCATTTTTCCACTACAAGACCGTCGTTTCCATCGGCGTTCAACTACAAGACTGTCGCTTCCACCGGCATTCCACTACAAGATTACCGTTTCCACTGCGACAAGTTCATCCTCTAAGAACCTGCGTCTCTGGTTTTCCCTAATCTCACTACACTACATATAATAAAATTGTCTCTGCTTTTATTCTCACTATTTTCCCCTCATATCACTATTTCCCCTCATCTCGCTATTTTCTCTGCGTTCATCTCTGCAAAAATCCAATGGAAGTCTTCCAAAGGATGCAAGCTTAGAAGAGAAGATTCAGGTAAATACAAACCCTAATATTTCTGGGTTAAAAATAAACATATTAATCTAGGGTATTGATGCATTTCTGGGTTAGGATTTAAACTTTTGTTCTGTTTTTCTATATTAATATCTGGTTAGGATTTAAAGTTTTACCTGTTTATTTTATATTTATTTTTTATTTTATTTCAAATTATTATTGTGTATTTGATTTTTCATTTTTTTTATTTGGAATATTATTGTTATTGTGTTATATTTGATATTTTAAGAAATTTCTTTTGAGTTTTTGTTGGTTGGAAATCATAAGCAAGTTGTGCAGATATAATGTTGTTACTATGTAGATGATTTTGTTTTAGCATAGGAGAATTTTTCTTCCCAGGAGGTTGATCCAAAAATATAATGTGGCCACCTAGTACAGTTAATATGTAAAGGATTTTGTTACTCTCAGAATTCAACACAGACATTTCTTTGAAATTAATGGAAATTTCACCCTAAGTATTGAAATAGACTACTGCAAATTAAGTGTTATGGAGTGTTCATTAATGAACTTTTATTAGAGACTATTGGATGGAGAGTTTAAACTTGAATTAGGATGTGTGATTTTATTTGTAGTGAAGCAGTAAGATGACTTTACCATTGATTATCATTTGATTCAGGTTATTGCAGTTAATGGGCAATTTCCAGGTATTGTTTTTAATGTTACAACTAATGACAATGTTGTAGTTAATGTGAGGAACAGGCTGGATGAAGATCTTCTGGTACTAGTGATTCTCAAGGTACTTTTTGCCTAAACTCTTGAGAATTGGTTTTTAGGCAAGAATGGTTTGATTTTTTTAATGATTACTTCTAACCTTTTATTTCTTCTACTACTTGCATAACTTGTTATAAATATACTATTTCTCCCCCTTTCTCTCATTGTTCCCTCTGCTGCAAATGGATAGCCATTCACTGGGATTTTTTTAATGCTTGCTTCTATTTCTCCTAATAATATTAGAGGTATGTATCTCTTGGAATGTGGTTTGTTGAAATCATATGCACCAGAATTTTAATTGTTCAAACTCCCTTCTTTCTAATAGGATTTTGACTTCCATGAGTTTGAAGAAGTATTGCAATACTACCCTCAAGAGTATCATGGTGTTGACAGGGAGGGCAGATCGATACATCATCATGTCCAAGAGTTTGAGAGGGCCATACAAGAAAAGTTTTCGGCATGCTCTATTGCAGCGAAGAAAAGGATCTCCTCAACAACTACAATATTGGATGTGCAAGGCCTGGTATGTTGGTTTAATTTAATGTTGAGTTTTCTCCCTTTTGAAAGATAATTTTACTTTGTTATATACCGTAGCCAGTCCATTATCTTCTGTGAATGAGACCTTCATTTGTTAGAGTTAATTGCGTAATTTTAGCTGATGTGATTTTTTGTACTAGTGTTTGTTACCTTGCAGATCATTGAAGTGTGTATCATCTCAGTGATAACTTCAGTTATTTCATTTGGATTGCCACCGTTCAGATGATGCACTCCTTGTCCTAATCCTGATGCCAAATCAGGCATTGAATGTCCACGTGCACTAGGAATGTATGAAAATTATGTAAATGTATGCACATCTCATATACGTAGACTTTAAGTAGATCTTCAATGTTATTTTGGAGTATGTCTGCTTGTTTTGACCATTTTTATTATTTTTTATTTTTCTTTTGCATGCATTGTTTCTTCAGTTCGTTGAATGTCAGATTTGATGCTATTTGTGCATTCCTTTACATTTTATTGGTATATTTGGTTATTCTTATAATTATATTTATTTTCAGTTTTATTGCCCGAACGAGGAGTACAATGACCTTGCAACCTTATTCGTCAACACTCAGGTTACTTCAATTTTTAATTTGCCACAACCTTTTCTTCTCTTTTTAATACACTGATATCTATCACAACATTAGAACCTTTTTCAGCTTATGAAGTCTGTGTGCTCTACATTTGTAGGATGATGCTATAAAAGACTTATTTAGAAAAAACGTGAGTCCATTACTTATTTATTTTTAATTTATTCAATTGTGTCCAATTGATACTATTACTCCCATTAAATTATTTTATTCAAGACAATTTGACATATTATGAGCCTACTTAACCAATTTTACTATAGAACTTATGACTAGTTAATTGAGGAAAGTTTATATTAGAGCTTCAGCTTATTTTATGCCGAATTTATTATACTGTTTATTAATTTTGAGTCTTTAGTGAATTATTTTCTTATGATATATAGCACTTGATGGGCATATAATCCTATTTGGAAAATTAATACGGAGTAGTAATTTTCTTATTGTGTCTATGCAAGCTTCTAAATTCATGTTTTGTTGGTTTTTAGTCTTTACAGCTTATATAGCTTTTATACTCCTATTTTATGTTTACCTTTGTACTGCTA